GCCGCGGGGCTGGGTGGCAGAGGTAGCGGCGGCCCGGGGCAGCGTCCGGTCGGAGGCGGCGGGAGCGGCGGAGGAGGTGGAGACGGCGGCCGCTGCCCGGTCCCCGGCCCCCCGCGGCGGCCGGGCGAGCGCAGGATGCTGAGAGCCGCCCCGCGCCCTGGTCGCGCCGCGGGGAAAGGCCTCCCCCCGGCCTGAAGGCGGACTCTCCCCGCACCCCAGCGCGCTTCCCTCACCCCCTTCCCCCTCCCCGCCTCCTTCAGCCCCTCACTCGCTCCTGGCGCCGCCTCCCGGCGGAGCGGCCGCGGCGGCTCCGGTGAGGGGGGGGTAAGAGCCAACTCCTCCCCGTCCGGCTCCTCCCGCGGCGGCGCGGGAGCGCGGGGGGCGGCGGAAGATGGCGTGGGTGCTGAAGATGGATGAAGTGATCGAGTCCGGGCTGGTGCACGACTTCGACGCCAGCCTCTCCGGCATCGGGCAGGAGCTGGGAGCCGGTGCCTACAGCATGAGGTAACTCCTCGTCCCTCAGGGCGGGAAGGGAAGGCCCCGGGGCCTGGGAGCGCGGGAAGGAGGGCACCCCCCCCCCATCGCCTCATCCTACATCTTCCCTCGGTATTTATCTCCCTCCGGGTCCTGGGGGCTCTTCCCGAGGAGCAGGACGTGGCGGAGGGTGGCCCGGTGTCGCCGCCGCCTTTTCCCCGGTACCGGCTGCCGTGTGAAGGGGCTGCCCGGCTGCTGGCCCTGCTGGAGGGCGGGCTGCTGCGCCTGGGGTGCTTTTGCTCTGTCTGCGTCCTCTCTGTCCTAAAAATGACATTTTTCTGTCCCGCGGCCATCCAGCAGGACCCCGGGTTTCAGAAGATAACCGTCTTCTACTCGGCCAATAGATGTCTGATTCGTAATTCTCTTAACGTTTAAAAAAATGTCTTTTATCGATCAAGTAAAGGCTGCGGTAGTAAACAGGGTAGCATGGTGTAAATAGGGTAAAGTACGGTGGTACTTTTATCAGTCCATTTATTTCTTACTTCTGTGTAGTAGGAGTCTTTAGTGACTTTCTCCCTTTCTTTTTTTTCTTCTATATTTTTTTTCTTTTCCTGCCTTGCAGCTCTTTCTGTTCTCAATCAACTTGGCAGTTTCTTTACCTTTTGGTTGTTTTCCAGGTTTTACAGCAAAAGTGTTTAAATAGCGTTTGGGTGTGCTTTTTCACAGTTCAGATAAAAAACTGTACTGGTTTGAAATAAGTACATTGTCTCAGTTACGGGCAGAACGTGCAGATTCCTTAGCGACAACTTAGCGTGAAAAAGGGAAACAGCTTGGGAGACATTTTAGTCAAAGGTTTTTGACAGGGTAAGTCAGCGTTTGGAGAATTTAGAGAGGTAAAACACTGGCATTTGGTAGTTTGGATGGCCTAGCCTGTATGAAAGTTTCTCTTTCAGGGTTAACTGAAACTTTGAGGCCACCGCAAGTTTTCAGCTGTTATATATATTTTCAGGTAGTACTTCCCAGGTGAAGCGTTGGAACTGCAGTATCTTTGTTTGAAGTTACGAAGAAGTGTTTCAGCTGAATAGAAATGAGGATCCTTTTGCTGGTATTTGAGATTGAGCTCGGCAGGTTTATGGTGGGATACGTATTTGATGGGTTTCTTGTTTTGTGTGGGGTTTGATCATAATTTAGAATAACTTAGAGAGCTTGCCAGTTCAGACAACAAGGTGATTCACCTCACTTCCTGAGAATGCTCATTTTATATTCAGTTCGTCTGGATTTTATTCTACTTCTGTGTCCTTTCCTTCTTTGTCAAGCGAACATCTATCCCACAGAATGATGTGCAGGTTTTTGTGGGCAGCTGTCGTGCAGTTGCTTCTCCCTGTGCAGCTTCTGGTTATCTTTTCCCAATGCAAACACCAATGGAAAACACACGCGCTCCTGTTCAGGAACCATTCTTCCTTCTCTATCGTGGTCCGGTTCTTTCTAGGATTAGAAGTCTTGAGTTTTGACTGCTCTAGCTTTTTAAAGATTCCCCTTTCTTTTCATAGACTTCATTTCTCTTTCAGCAACGCACACTGTTTGGTTTCTTGAAACTTTAAAAATTTTAATCTTTACGATTGAGTAGATTGTTTCTTCTGCCCATATTTTCCTTTTATGGTGGGCAGCAATCCCAAGTGTTTTTTTTAGTTACGTATACCTGCCTATTAGGATATTTTGAATTACCACAAAAATAGTTGTATGAGTTAAAGACAGCTCTTAAAAAGTAATATTGCACAAGCTAAGCTATACATCAGTCTTAATTTTTGTTGTATATTTCATTTGTGATGAGATGCAAGTATTTTTGGACCACACGCTAATATTATTTGTAACTTTAGTCTCTGAAGACATAGTTAAAGGGATCACCTAATTAGAATTAGTGTTTGCTGGATTCAGAGGGATGTCAGCAAATATGCTAGTTATTTTATGCATTGCTTAGATTTCTACTTTAGGAAATTTTGGCCTGTTAAGTGATGTCAGAGGGGAAAACTAAAAAGTGGCGTAGCATGAAGAGTGAAGGTGTTACTCTGTCACTGTTCTGTGTGCCAGTAAGAGCTGATTAATTACTTGTCACTTCCTTACAAAAAGAGATGGTAGAAGAAAAGGAAATATGGTCTAGAGGAGAATGCTGGGAGAGCTCCCCAGGCTCAGTGTATGCCCCTGCATTTTATTGGGAATCATAGAATGGTTAGAGTTGGAAGGGATCATCCAGTTCCATCCCCCCTGCCCTGGGGCCCACCAGACCAGGTTGCTCCAAGCCCCATCCAGCCTGGCCTTGAACCCCTCCAGGGATGGGGCAGCCACAGCTTCTCTGGGCAACCTGTTCCAGTGCCTCACCACCCTCACAGGAAAGGATTTCATCCTAATATCTAATCTATATCTCCCCATTTTCCATTTAAAACCATTACCCCTTGTCCTGTCACTCTTCCCTGACAGAGTCCCTCCCCAGCTCTCCTGTAGCCCCTTCAGGTACTGGAAGGGGCTATGAGGTCTTCCCGGAGCCTTCTCCAGACTGAAGAACCTCAGCTTTCTCAGCCTGTCTTTGTAGGAGAGGGTCTCCAGCCCTCTGAGCATCTTCGTGGCCCTCCGCTGGACCCCTTCCAACAGGTCCACGTCCTTCCTGTGCTCAGGACTGCAGAGCTGGACACAGGACTCCAGGTGGGGTCTCACAAGATCAGAGTAGAGGGGCAAAAGAAGACTTGCACATAACCCTGTTAACTATTAGGTTTATGTATTGATGCTTCTGTTTGATTGCCCTTGTAGAGTTGTATATTTGATGCTTCCTCGAGTTGATGATCAGTCAATGCCCTGGAGTAGAATATATGGCATTACTCCTGTGTTTATTCTTCTTAAGAGAACTGTTTATGTCTGTTGACAGTAACTGTAAGGTTTTTGGGTTTTTTAAAGGAAGCAAACTGGACAAAACTTCTCTGTTGATTCACATTTTAGATATTTCTCAAAATTTCCTTAAAATCTTGAAACTCAGTTTTTCTGATTGATATTCTAATGTCTTCTTGTGCAATAAGAAACCACCTGTAAACACAAAATTCAATTCAGCTGATAGTAATTATTGTCAGGTGTGTCAATAACGCCCCCCTTGGAAACCTATAGAAAAGCGTGGTAGCTTTGGAGATAGTGAGGTTTGAGTATTGCTGTTACCTTGGTTGGTAACGACACCATTGTGCGGATTTAAGATTCCCATAGTGATTTTGTACAAATCCGTCACCATATTTATCATAACACAGCAAGAACTGTGTAATTTTTGAGACCAGTAATTGTTGCTACGAACTGTTAAAAATGGAGGCTACGTCACTGAAAAGTGAAGTTTCAGGCACTGGCTGCCATTTCTCTAGCAGAACTCCATTTTTCATGTAATGAAGTATTTGATTAATGAATTGATTTCAATTAAATTAAACGAGCATTAATATAAGGACAAGTAGCTTAATGACTGAATTTTTATGTCTAATTTAGAAGCTCAGTGTATGGATTTATTTTAATACTTGCAATTCCAATGGTATTTGTAGTGATAAAATTGAAGTCTGTCATTGGGGAACTTGAGGACTGTTTGAGGAGTAGCTATTTTGGTATGTGTTTCTAGATTAAAACCTCAAGTTTATTAAACTAAATTGGAAAAGATGAGTCTTGGTTCTGAAGTGGGAAATTCTATGCAAAAGGCAATATGAAAATACATCCAGCCAATCCTCCATTTTTGTCAAATCGAGTTGGTTTCACTGCTGCATCTCCCAATGGGCTGTTAGGATTTGGGGGACTGTTGTCTTACAGCTTTCTTTTCAGGTGGAGAAGAGAGGGAGGGTGTTGTCTTCTAACAATTAGTTTTGGGACCCTGACATCCTTCTTTTTGGCTTCTGAAGAACACGATTGGGTCATGACAGTTACTGTCTTAACTTTATAGTAACTGTGCAAGAATAAAAAACTGGAGTTATCTCCTGCAGGCTCTGTTCTCCTTGTGGCTACTGTTACTTTCTGACAGACAAAATAACTGTGCTTCCCCTAAGGCCTCCTACTCATTTGACACTCTGCTACTGGTCACGTTGGGTTTTTTTAAGAGAAGTGCTTAGTTAAGGTATCCTGGGTTTTTTTCTGGGTTTTTTTTTTTTGTTGTTGTTGTTGTTTTTTTTTCTTTTTTTAATTAAGATCTACACAGTATGTTCTGCAGAATACTTTAAAAAACTTCTGGTGCAGGGGTCTGTTCTACTTCTAGTTAGTGCACTGTAGAAAAATTAATTTTCACTGACATCTAGACTGTAAAATAAAATTTTATGTACTGATTAGAGTTGGAACTTGATTCTTTGTGCAGGCACACAAATAGGTAAATATCTGTCAGGAAACAGGCATTTGAGGGAAAAAGAAAATGCACAAACCTAAACTTCCTCGCTTTGTTACCCCAGATAAAACATGTTGAAAGAGAAACCTCATGTTCTAGATCACTGATGTTGGTTTTAGGGTGGTTTTCTTTTCCTCCTTCTTCCCAGTTTAATGCCTGAATATGTTTCAAGATGTCAAGGAGACCAGTTGAATAAGGAAAAGACTCTTCAGGTTGCGTAACTCTTTTTTGTTCCCCCGTCACCTCTCAAGGTGGATGGAGGTGTGGGATGAGAAGAGGGCAGCAAGTTTGCCCTCATTTACACTCGATGTGTTACTCTGGCTTAGGAGCAATCTGTGCTGTAGCTGCTGCAAATTGGAGCAGCTGCCCGACCTCCCCGTGTCGGAGGAGTGGATGGAGAACCAGGGGTTTGAAATTATCATTCTTCCTTGGAAACCTTCGAGAGCTCGTGAAGACACAGGTTTTGGTGGTGGGATTTTTGTTCTTTTTTTGATTGGTTGGTTTTTGCATTTTGTGCCAGGCTCCCCGTGAGTCGAAGCCTTTCATCAGCTCAGTTTCTGTATGATGGGTTGTAGGATTCTGGGAACAGCGTTACGTTTGCACCTGTGTTCTCAGTCAGGGTGCACTTCTTGACAGCTGCTTCAGA